CCGAGTTGCGCCAGAGGCAGGCGATGAAGGCCAGCGCCATCGTGACGCGCAGCAGCAGCAGCGGCTTGGTGTGGAGTTGGGCGACGTGCATGGGTTGGCGTCGGCGAAAGCGAACAAGATACAAACTGCAGAAGGTCAAGGAAGACCGCTTGGGTTAAACTACAAAGGAAATCAACAACCTCTATTGTTTTTAAGTTCGTCATACAACTTACAACGTGTATCTAATAAAATAAAATGAGGTGACCGTTGAGACCCAAGAAAAAAGCACCGTCAACTAAAACCTATTTAACCGATGGGAAAGGCCCCGTGGTAGAGGAGGGCAAAGATGCGAATTTTTCAGCACCCTCGACGCGCCTCTTGGCGTGAAGGAGGTCCATCGGCTTCTCATGATCGGCTCCAGTCATTATACCCGTCAATCAGTCCGTCAATACAGTGTATACCCGTCCGTAGTTGCACCAACGCCTCTTCAAGAGACCGGTAGCACGGTGCAAGGTTGAAAAGTCGCTGTAGCTTCCTCGCAACTGCACAGCCTTGCGCGCCTGCGAAAGCACATAAGGTTGCGGTCACGTCTCCAGCATATATAATCTTGTGGCCACTCCTATCGAGTGCTCGACGACGTGCAGGCGTTTCAAATCGCACACAAGTTGTCGTACATTAAACTATCGCACGAGTGCCGTTGGAACGTCACGCAGAAAAAGTCATCGATTGAATATGCAAGTTTACACGGAGGCCGACAAGACCATGGCGGTCGCGGACATCGCCGAAGCGTCGGCGTTGAGCGCCGCGTTCCATTGGTGAACTCGGCGCAGACCCACGAGCCCGATAACTAGTCACCACGCATGAGACGCTGCAAACCATCACGAGAAGGAGCGTACAGGCGTTGAGGGCGGCGACACCGAGGCCGACGTGGAGGTTGTAGCGGTGGTGCACCGCCGGCGACGTTGTCTCGCCAGTGCTTTCGATGGCCAGTGCGTACTTGGCGGTCGGTGCGTCGGTCGATGCAGCCACCGCCGGTGTCGCATCTGCACCGTCCACGGCCTGGACCGATAGCGATCTAGGCGCCACTGTGATGGAAACAAGAATCTGAAGAATGCGCGTACCGAAGGCGCTCCAGGCCACCGCCGGCGGCCGACGCTGACGCAGCAAGCGCTTGGACTCGTGATGAATCTTTCCAGAAGGCGATGAGCGCTGCCGCCCCGTCTGCCGTCGCGACGCCAAAGCGAAGAATCGCGATGCTGGCGCCGACGGGGTTGGTGGTGTCGGCCGTTGGCGTCCGCGCGTAGAGCTCGGCGACGATGCTTGTATCTATGGTCGTGAAATGAGGAGGGTCGTGTCCGTGGTATCGGGTACCAGCGAGGCGCGAGGCCACGAGCGAAGTGAGTGTGTCCACAAGCGAATCGCTCCAGAGCGACGGCGCGTAGCCTTCGACTTGGAGCGTCACGACCGCGCCCTGTGGCGCATATCGTCAGCACCAGACTCTCAATGGATTGAGGTTACGTAGGTCGGCGCCGACACGGCGATGCAGACTCCGTTGCTGGACTGCTTCTTGTAGCCGGCAGGGCAAGCGACGCACGCCGACGAGCCTAGAGCAGGATCGCATGGTTGCACGGTCGACGGGAGAATATACCGTTCACACACGTCGAGTCGGCGCCGCACTTGCAGGCAATGCACTGCGTCGCACGACCTGCACGGGAGGTTAGGGTATTGAGGAGGTGTTGAGCTGGGTACCCGTCGAGTAGAACCCGTCACCGCACAGGAGGCAGTCGTCGGCACGGGTCGACCCCGGGGGCATCGCAAATCCTACGCGTGCAAAACGAAGTTTATAGAGGTTGGGACTACTGGTTGTAATACCAATATCGCACTGGCCAACCTCGCACGAAGCGTTGCCGCCGCGGGAGAAGGACCCACTGGGGCACAGAGTGCACTGCTGGATGGGCACATCCGCGCCCTACCGCAGCCACATGAGGTTTCGTGCACCGACGGCGGCTACCTCGGGGGAACTCGTTCCAGGTGGGCACTTGGTGGCGACGCACTGATGGAATTGTCCTGCCGAGAACGAACTACACATTGTTGAGTTTCGAGTTGAGAAGGATGATGGGATACCCCGCGGGGCACAGCGTGCACGTGGCTGCGGCGTCCGTGGCGCCAGTGGCCGACGAGCCATAGCCCGATGCACACGTCATG